GACGAAGTCTAAAATAAGTGGGGGAGATTTGTAGCACCTGGTTTCCGGTATGTGAATTTTATTTGAGTATTGCCCAATTTTAGCCTTGGACTCGGCAAGTCACTAGGTCCGACTCGCCGAGTAGGAACGAGACGCAGGACACGTTTAAGTTGGCAACTCGGCGAGTCCATATCCTGGACTCAGCGAGTCACCGCTGTTGGATGAAACCCTAAGTTTCAGGGGTTTGCACCCTATTTAAACCCCATATCTGCCCCTTGCCAGCCCCCATTCACCCCCAGAGCTCCCAACCCTCGTCCTAAGCTTGTTCTTGTGTATTTGAGGCTCTTGTGTGCATTCTTGAAGGTTTTGAGGCAAGAAGGGGAAGGAGATCAAGAGAAAGGAGAGCCATCCAAGCATCATTGTGTTTTTCAGCTGTATCATTGAGGTATATCTCGTTTTTCCCCTGTTTCTATGCTTAAGATTTCATTTAAGGCACTCTTGAGCAATTCCTCAAGCTTGTTTGTGCTTAATGTTTCGTAATAAGTGGATTGGCCTTTAGATCTAGGCAAGATTGAGCTCCAGGAGCTCAGATCTGTTAGCTTTATGGCCCCATGTGGCTTGTTCATCCTAGATCTACCCTTTTGAGGCATTTTGAACCCTAAAATCCATATTAGTGAGTATCCACACGTAAAGTTGGAAACTTTACATGTGATTTGTGTCCTAGAAGTCCAGATCTATGAATGGCATGGACTGAGATCGAGTAAATCGGTGTATTTGGTGGATGCATGGCGACGACTCGACGAGTCGTATAGGTGACTCGGCGAGTCTGGTCGCGAGTCACCGAATTGGTCCCTTCATGATGTATCGAGTTGAGCCGTGAGTCACAGGGGGTGACTCGGTGAGTTGGGAGCTGAACTCACCCATGTTAGGACTCGGCGAGTCAATGCCCTGACTCGGCGAGTCCAAGGCAATCTTCATAGATCAAGAACAGACTCGGCGAGTTGTTCATACAACTCGGCGAGTCTTAGCATAAAGTGTTCTTCGGATGAAGATGAACTCGACGAGTTGTTCATACAACTCGGCGAGTAGGATGAAGAGGTTGAACGTCAGTTTAGAGGATGAACTCGTCGAGTCATAGCCCAACTCGACGAGTAGAATCAGGGACCCAGGACAATAGTTTGCTAGGGACTCGGCGAGTGGAGATCCACTCGGCGAGTCGGGTCAACTGAAAGTTGACTTCGATTTGACTTAGGGCTAGACCTGGGGTAAAATGGTCTTGTTACCCAAAGGACAGTTAGCAGTGTATGATTAAGTATATTGTGGGGAATTGCAGCCGGAGGACTCCCGGAGCAGCAGCAGTCAGTTAGTTCCCGATCAGTTCAGCAGCTACTTTGAGGTGAGTTACCTTCCAGTAGTGGTGGGCCTAAGGCCACAATGCCGGCCCACCAGTAGGGGACGTATGTTAGATGATTGTCTTTGTGATATCATCTAGGTTGCTATTACCTGTTATGTTATATGCTCTCATGATACGTTATATGCAATAGTAGTGGAGTTCGGTTGTTAGGACCGCAGGGTAGTCAGACACCCCAGAAACATCTGACCGTATGTGATGGTATGCTTGTATGTTGGCCTGTTATGTTATGCGATAGAGGTAGCGGGAGGGGACCAGTCCCCGAGGATCGGTTGTTAGGACCGATGGGTAGTCAGCACCCCAGAATGGCTTGACATGGGTAGTCAGCACCCCAGAATGGCTTGACACGGGTAGGACGGCACCCCAGAATGGCCTTATGGGTAGGTCGGCACCCCAGAATGGCCGTACCGGGTAGTTAGGCACCCCATAATAGCCTGGCAGTATTTATGTTATGTGTTTGCATGGTATGTGGTACGTTGGGGGAGCTCACTAAGCTTTGTGCTTACGGTTTCAGTTTTGGTTTCAGGTACCTCCTCAGCTAGGGGAAAGGAGCCGGTACGGTAGCAGCATGACACACACACACACTCTTCGGTTTCCGCATTAGGAGATTCACTGGGATTGTACTCTGATATTTGATGGATTGTATGGTTTGAATATTAAAACATGGTTTGCGATGTGTTATGGCGTGATCAAACAATACTTTTATTTATTAATGTTTTCTAAAAGTAATATTTTAAAACGAAATTTTTGGACATGAAAATTGGGTCGTTACACTCAAAAATTTAAAAGAGTAATCTCAAGTTCAAATCACATAAAATTTTATATTCTGATAAATAAATTTAAAAAAAAAAAAAAAAAAAAAAAAAAAAAAAAAAAAAAAAAAGATTTCTTTAGAAAAAACCTAACTAAAATATTACTCATCTCTAACCAAACCTATCTCTATTTTTCCCGAATCAATATGTGCTTCTGGCTGCTTCCATATAAAAAATGTAAAGAAAATCAAAATTCTTTGCATCGGTCTTATTCAAATAATTTTCTATTCAACGGAACGTTTGTCAACATGGAGACTAGAAAAAGAATATACTTTTTAGGTTTTTGTGTAGTTTTGGATTATTAAAGTGGTTGTTTTATGTTTGTTTTGGTATTTAATATTTTAGACCTATCTAGTTACGAGATTTATTCAAAATATATTGTTGTTATATAAATTAAACAAGCAGAAAATCTTTTGACAAAAATGTTAATTTTAGAACAAACTAATAATATAACACATGTTATTTCGAATACATAAAGGGATAAAGAGTTTTAAACTATGACAAAATGAATGAACTAGACAAGCTACAAGCATTTTTTTCAAAAATTTTGATTTAAACCTAACTAGTAAATATTTTTCATAAATTATCTAATATTTTTCTATTTTTCTGGTTTAAACCTAAACATTCAACTTTCTTTTTTTTTTTTTTAAATTTTATGAAAACTTTTAAGTATGTCTTTTCCATTTGACAAAGTTAGCAGGTTCTTGATTAAGGGGGTGTTTTGTATAGCTTTTTACAGTCCAAAAGTCTTTTTTGGAAAAGAAAAAAAGCAAAAGATGTTTGGAAAAATTACTTTTAAAAACTACTTTTGAAGTTTTTATACAAGTAAAATGAACTTTTTAGAAAAATCAGGAAATTCTAACTTTTTGTAACTTTTCAAAAAGTACTTTTGAGCTTTGAAAAGCTAAGCCAAACACCCCCTAAATTTCATGTAGGCTTATACTTTTTTAATTTTTCACAAAAGACCAAGTATCATCTTTCACAAAATTACGACCTAACATTTTGGTATTTTTCGGTTTACCATAGTTTTTGTTCTACACTATTGAATGGTGATTTGATGATGATTTTATGGCTATTATGGTGCTTTGATGCTTTGATGATGACTTTATGAGGATTATGATGATTATGATGTTTAGCATGCTTAGACGACAATTTTCAATTTTATGAATGAGGTTCATGAACAAGATGACTTTGTATGGTTCGGTTACTTATAGGTTCATCACTTATGGACTTTTGTATGTTTCATGCCTCACGTCCCTTGCATGTCCATGGCCTCTTGTATGGTCCATGGATTATGATGATTACGATGATTATGATAGTTTGTATGTTTCATCCATCATATTTATTCATGCCTGTTTCATCCCTTATGTGCCATATCGCTCATGAAAAACTTATCTTGAATCATCAATGTCTTGGGTAAACCTGAAAAACCCTTGTTGAGTTCAAATCTTGATAATCTTAATAAGGTTGTTATGTTGTTAGATGCGAGTTCAAATCCTGTTAATCTTTTTTTTTTTTCAAACAAACTCAGGAAATATATTAAATTTAAAGGTCATAAGATTTAATTGTAGATAGATGTGTGGTTTTCATGTTTTTTTCTTTTGGTAAAATTCTACTTTGAAAGTAAAAAACACGAGACTAGCCGGTTCAAATTCACGACCTGAAATATAAATCCTGACACTATAACATATTCATGAATAAAAACCCAAAATTAATGCCTTTCATGGACTTATGTTCCATAAAAGGACATTCAGAGTTATGTGACATAGTAGAACAAAATATGATTTTTTAATAAATAACAAGTGATCTTTTATGTAACTAATTATACTAAGTAATAATTATTTCAAATTTGTATTGATTAAATTACTAAAAATAAAAGGGAAATTAACAAAACTAACCTTATTTTAAGTTAATGTTAAAGAGCTTAACCAAAAAATACATTTAAAAAAACAAAATCATAATTGATTATTACAGATTAAATTTATGTCACATTAAAAAAAATGATAATTTTTTTTCCAGTCATTCTGAATTCAAGATTGAAAAAAAAATGTTTTAGAATTTTAAAAACAAATTTAAAATCTGACAAACAAACTCAAAATTTCTTGAAAAAAATTTTGTTTTTACTAAAATCTAATAGAAATGAAAAAATATATATATATAAAAAATGGTGTATATATATAGGGCTATGTTGAAATGTGGATGAACATCTGAGAACGACTAAGAAAATATATTGTTTGATAATGTGAATACGTTCAACCTCACATGACCATTGTCATTATCTTTCATTATCACTAATTAAATCGTGACAAAATTGCAAAAATGGTCCTTGTGGTATGCACTTTTTTGGAGTTTTAGTCTAAATCCTGATTTTTTTGGATTAGTGGTCCTTTTGAGCTGGTCCTTCTGAATAGTGAAATGACTATAATACCCTTGGGATATTTGTTTCCATTTTTCTTTCGTTTCTTTTTAAATCTAATACTAATTTATTTATTTTAATAATTAAAAAAATAACAAGATGCCCACACACACACACACTCTCTCCCCCCCTCCCTCTCTACCTCTCTCTCTCTCTCTCTCTCTCTCCTAAATTATCATACACTTGGAGGTCCGACAAACACAATATAATTCTATTTGAATGAAACTCACACACTTGTTACACAAAACAAACATTGCATATCATATTCAAACTACAACCTAGAAAGAAAATGGAGCACTTGATCTTCTTGATTCTATACTCTGTACAAATCCACTGCTAAGAAGCCTCTCTACATATTTCCCCAATATATCCACTTCAAGATTCACCTTCTGTCCAATTTTTTTAGTGGAATCACAACTTTATGTTGTGTATACTCCACCAACAGGAAATTGAAACACTCCTCTTCATCAAACATATCCACCACTATCAAACTAGTTCCATCCACCGCAATGAACCCATTGGCCACTATAAAATTTAAAATCTCCAGCGACGTCTTCACCTTAATCCACAACGAATCCCCTTCCACCTTCATTGAAACAATCTCCCATGTTCCATCCACATGCCCCTGCACGAAATGTCCACCCATTTGTGTCGATGGTTGCACAGCTCTCTCCAAATTAACAACTACACCCTTTTCCAATTCGATTAACGAATGTTTCAAGAGCCAACCCGACCTTGAATTCCAATCGCTCGGAGCTGAATTTTGTGACTGTTAAACAAGTGTCATTTACTACTATTTTGTCACCGAGGTTGACATCTTCGAGGACGATCAGCGAATGGATTACCATGTCGAGTGATTCGTCGAAACCTAGTTCCCTGACTTTTCCCATTTCTTCCATGATTCCGGTGAAGAGGCATGTTATCTGGTTTCTTCGGTTGGGTTTTAGGGTAAGTGGTTTTGGTGTTTGCGATTTGAAGATGAGAGATGAAGGGAGTTTAGGTTTGAGATTAGTAGAGAGTTGTAAATTGCAAATTTGGGGATCGAGGTTTATGAAATCTTCAACTGGTTAATCCGTGTGAGAGAGAGAGAGAGAGATGTGGGCCCAAATTATTTATTTATTTATTTTTCATTTAAATTAAATAGAAAAAACATAAAAAAAATATATCAGAAGGGCATTACAGTCATTTCAATTTTACGAGGGACCAAATTTACGTACAAACATGTTCAAAAGGACCATGAATCCAAAAAAGTTGGGGTTTGGACTACAACCCCAAAAAAATGCATACCACAGAGACCATATTTGCAATTTTGTCTTAAATTGTCTATAAGAGTTTATATATATATATATATATATATATATATATATATATATATATATATATATATATATATATATATATATATATATATATATATATATATATATATATATATATATATATCAAGGGCGGCTCAACTACTTTGGGGCTCTAAGCAAACCAAAAATTTGGGGCCCATGACATTTATTATACTTAATATTATAAACTCTCATCTTTTATTCGGGTTTGGGATTGACATTAATAAACTAAAAAATTATACTTGCTGCCTTGATATTTGAAAATAGAACTAGAAGATAAATGGAAAGCTCAAATCTAGAAAACTGAAAAATGTAATCTGTTGTAATCAATGAAAAATATCAATGGAATCAAAAATCACATAACTAAAAAAAATAAAAACAGAAAAGCTAACCCTAATCAAGTAATCAAATGACAACAGATAATGGAGAAAAAAAAGTGAAAAGTGAAAAAATTCCACATACCGATTTAGTAACAGCATTAAATCAGGAGAAGGAGGAGTGTTTTAGTCGTTCAGATGTTCAAGTATCGACAAGAAGAAGAGCAGAATTGCTAATCAGAGTCTGATAATTTTGAGCAGCCCCTAAGAAGAAGAGAACTGTGATTGTCGCTTGTAGAAGAATAAACGGATTGTGAGATGTGTGCAGCGAACAACAATTCAACAAATATAGATCGGACTGTATTGGATATATAGGTTAAGTGGGCCCCTCTAGAAGTGGGGGCCCTAAGCCCTAACTTTATTTATAAACACATAAAGCCGGCCCTAATATATATATATATATATATATATATATATATATATATATATATATATATATATATATATATATATATATATGGAAAATTGCAATAAAGTCCCTATATATTGGACTCATAATCGATTTAGTTCTTATATATATTTTTATTCAATTAAGTCCCGAATATCGGTAATCGTATTTAATTTAACCCTTTGACTCGGTCAACAGGTCATCCAACTTTCAAAAACTATATATTTTTGGCCCAGATTTCAAAATTTATTGCAAATTTGGTCCAAAAATTACACTTTTGGCCTAGATTTTAATTTTTTTTACAAATTTGGTACACAATTTACCCTTTTTGCCCAAATTTTAGAGTTTTATTATGAATTCATCCCAACTTTAGTTTTCTTTCCAACTTTTTTTTCTCAAAAATTTGTTTCTAATATGTTTTTTCTTTATAAACTCATATTTATACAAAAGAAACATATTTTCACATAAAAATCTTATTTTTTCTATATAAAACCTTTTTTTAAAATTTTTTTTGTATATGAAATATCTACTTATAAAAATAGGTTTGGATTATTTGTGTGATTTCACTTAAAAAATCAATTAAGAAATTAAAAGTAACCCGAAATTATACTATCAAATTATAGTTTGTCAAAACCTAGTTACACTCATTTTAATATTATTTATTTGTTCTTTAATCACATTTATAGGACAAATAATGTCACTTCTTAATTGTAGTTCATAGAAAAAAAACATTTTATTAAAAAATTCTGACATCATGTTTTTGAGTAGGTTGTGATACTTTCCTTAAGCATGTTTTAGGTGTTTGAGTAATTTTTTTAGCCAAACTCAGGTGTAAATTCTTTAGAACTTTAGTTAAGGTATTCTATTGTGTTGTTTATAGTTATTACAGACATTAAAAAGGAAAAGAAATACAAGATTATAAATAACCCAAGTAAGAAGAGGTTGAATGACAATAAAAAATCACAAACTAGTTCGGACACGTGCCATGAATGGATATTTTTTATTTAGATAATATATTTATTAAAAAGTTATAAAAAATATTTCAGAGTTATGATTTTAAGTTTTTTCTTAAAAAAATTCTTACAAATAAAATATAATATTAATATATTATATATATTTTAAACTTTCATATTTATAACTAGTTTAAACTTTCCTATAAATGTGATTAAAGAACAAATAATCGAAACCTATTTTTATAATTTAGGGTTACTTTTAATTTCTTAATTGACTTTTTAAGAGAAATCAAACAAATAATCCAAACCTATTTTTATAATTAGATATTTCATATACAAAAAAGCTTTTAAAAAAAGTTTTTATTTAGAAAAAATAAGATTTTTATGTGAAAATATGTTTTTATTAAGATAAATATGATTTTGTAAGGAAAAAGCATATTAGAAACAAATTTTTGAGAAAAAAGTTGTAAAAAAACTAAAGTTAGAAAGAATTCATAATAAAATTCTAAAATTTGGCAAAAAAAAAAAGTAAATTTTGGATCAAATTTGTAAAATAATTTAAAATCTCGGCCAAAAGTGTAAATTTTGGACCACGTATGTAATAAAATTTTAAATCTGGACCAAAAATGTAATTTTTGAAAGTTGGATGACCTGTTGACCGGATTAAAGGATTAAATTGTATACGATTACCGGTATTTGAGACTTAATTGAATAAAAAATATATATAGACTAAATCGATTATGAGGTCAATATGTAGGGATTTTATTGTGGTTTTCCTATATATATATATATATATATATATATATATATATATATATATATATATATATGTATGTATGTATGTATGTATATATATATATATATACTAGCAGTGCACCAGCGCAAAGCGGCGGGGCGTGTAAATTCTTTTAGTGATATGTTTCCTCTACAAAAATGTTATGTTACAAAAGAAAGTACACGTCGAAGACAAAATAATCAAACTATGGTGTTATTTGAGAAATGAAGTCATTTTTTGTTCCTGGACGGTGGACTTTATAGTAGAGGAGGGAGCAAAGAGGTATATTTGAAGGGATATTTGAATCAACATGCTAAATTTAAGGATATCTAAAAGGGTTCAAAATTTGAATGAATCCGAGATTTGAGGAAACCATATCAAATTGTTGAGAAATATAAGGAGATTTGATGATAAATATTTGAATTCAAAATATGGTTAAAATTTAATATTATTTTATTAATGATTACTTGTACTATCAGCTTCATCATTTGGACGTCTTAAAAAAATATTATTATTATAATCAATCTATTTTTAGAAATAGTTAGATTTCTTTTATAAGATAGTAAAGATATATATATATATATATATATATATATATATATATATATATATATATATAATTTTATTTCTGTTAGAATGTATTATTGATAATCGTATTCTGTAAGAAAGAAAATGAGTGAAAAACGATAAATACGAAAAAAATAATAATAATAATAATAATACATGATAATGATGATAGTTGCGTTAAGTTACGAAACATCCTATTCATTTAATTATTTTTATATAATAACATTGTCTACATACACATATAAGAAACATATTTAACTTTATCAATCTAAAAGGAATCATTCCTACAAAGAAAATTTTAAAAACACATAAATGACAGAACCAAATCATTTTGATTAACTCTAATAGTTTTTTTTTTCCCGTTAATATTAAAAAGAAGAAGATAATTGAACGTGAGTGAAAATAGTTTTGATGCTTAAAAGTGAGTGAAAAGTAAAAGATAAATATGTGTGTAAGAAAAGTTTAGTTGTCTTTTAGCTGGATTTTCTATCCTTTTAAGGTTTTAAAGGGACAAAGCCTGGTGGTCTGAAGTCTGAACCCCACCCCATGGCCCATGGCTCCGTTCTCAGGCCCTGGCTCTGTTTTTGGAAGCAAACCTCCACCACCACCTGCTTCATTGCTTTCTTTACCACTTGTCTTGGAGACAATATCAATTTTACTCTATTATTCAAATAATAACCATTTTTTTTATACCTTTTATTTTAATTAAATCAATCTTCAATTTTATACGTGATTCCATTTTCGATGTTTAATTTCTTTTATTTATAATAGGTAAAATGAATAGAATTTAGCTAGTCAGTTGAAAAGATCGAACATTTTGATAGAATGATAGTTGGCCCAAAAGACGTTTTTAATAGATTGTTTGATGTTAAAAGGGTCTGTTGCTGTTGCTATTTCTGTTGTTATTTGATGTTAAAAGTAACAGATGATATAAATATGCGTGCTTGAGATTTGAGAATGCTTGTTTGTTTCTTTCTTGAATTGTCACTTTGTTGTTGTATCAAAGTTCAAAACCATGCCTCCTTTCAAGATTTTATTCTTTCAATTCAACCCACGTATATATATTATATACGTTCTTCAACTTCCTCAAACTAATCACAAAGATTCCAGTACTTAACATCTCTCTCTCTCTCTCTCTCTCTCTCTCTCTCTCTCTCTCTCTCTCTCTCTCTCTCTCTCTCTCTCTCATACAGAACTTTAGAGGGTTGCTGATCACAAGGGTAATGATTTTAGAATAATAATACCCATCATCAACATCATCATGATCATTCTCCCCACACCTTCTTTTTCCTTTCCTTTTTCTCTTTTTAAGAAGTAATATTTAAAACTATTTCCCTAATAGTTAATGGTATATAATCACTCTCTTTTTTATATAAAATGATGTAATTTTACATTATTCAGTATTATAAAATTAGTTATAGTCAAATGCATAATTGAGTGAAAATATATACGTCAAATATTTTTATATATTATACATTTTAATAGGAAGTTAAGACGTTTATGAGACTAAAAGTAATATTT